AATTTCATGTTAAGTTAATTGAAATGATGGATACTTATTAACTCACTTATTAAAATGAATCTTCTCTTTTCTACAGCATATCAGTTTCCATCACTAGAATCAGTTCATTATTTTGATGAATAAATCATAATTTTCAGAAAGGTCCTATTATGCTATAATCATGTTATTTAAAGAATATCTGTCAGTCAATAATCAAGTATTTATTCAACTCTTGGCATAGGGCCAGTACTGGAAGTAATGGGAGTAAAACAAAACAAAACAAAAAGGTGAGAAATAGTGTGTAAGAAACTTGGCATCCAGCTGAGGAGTCAAAGCTAATATAAAGGAAATAATTTGAGAAAAAATAAGTATGGTGCTATGAGATACTATTTATAAGCGCAACAGGAATTAAAGGAAGAATATCTGAAAAGATTTCAGAGAAGAGATGAGGCTTGAAGTGATCTTACTGGGTCAAAATTTAGACACATGGAGGGAGAGACCAGGCATTTGTGTGGCCAGGGAAAGTTGGAAAGGATCCATCTAAGTGGAAATCAGATTAGTGGTTATTCTGTACTAGAGTATTTCCTAACATAGATCAAAATATTGTGCTAATAGACTATGAAAAAGATAAGTTTTTAAGTTTAATTTCTAAAACTAATATATTTTCAATAAGAAATGTGGAATATGAAGAGAAAACAGAGAAAAATGTTAACCTAAATGCTTAAAATCTGAGAGTAAGACATATCTATGTGTGCACATATGCTGTATTGATGTGTTTTCTAATCTGTAGAATGGGGATAATAGCAGTGTCCACCTCAGAGTTGTTGTGGGAATTAAATGAAATGCAATATGCACAGTGCTTAGAACAGTGCCTGGCATATAGTAAGTCTCAATAAATCTTAGCTATTTATTATTATTGTTATTATATACATATATATTACATAATCCCTTTTAAAGTAAAATTTATCATTTAATGCTTTGTAGTTTACATTTCCTCCTAGAAATATGTTACATAATGTTTCTTAGATTGTTAAAAGTCTTCTACAAGATGATTTTTTAATGACTGCAAGATATCTTAGTCTATAGCAATATTTCAATTAACTTAAGTCTTATTACTGGGCACATAAGTTTTTGTTTAAAATTTATAACATTTGGAACCCCTGGGTGGCACAGCAGTTGAGCGGCTGCCTTTGGCTCAGGGCGTGATCCAAATTCAGGGATCGAGTCCCACGTCCCATGTCAGGCTCCCTGCATGGAGCTTGTTTCTCCCTCTGCCTATATCTCTGCCTCTCTCTGTGTCTCTCATGAATAAATAAATAAAATCTAAAAAAAAATTAGAACATTTTATTCATTGAACCTTCTTATAACTAAATAATTTTCCCACCTCTGTCTTCTTAGACAAATTCCTAGAATTGGAATTGCTGTATTGAAGAGTATATGTATTGATATATATCTAATTCTATCATATACACACATATTTCCAGGAAATTTGCATTTTCACTGGGAGAATATAGAAATGTTCATTTCTTTGCACTTTCAATGACACTGGTCATTATCATGACTTGGATGTTTTGATTTATTTGATTATGAGTAAAGTTGAACATTTGTTTGTATGTTTACTGGCCAGCATAATAGGCAGTTTTCCAGACCATTGGACATTGGATCAAGAAGGCAGGATTCAGTGGACCTTGACATGGCTAGCCTCATTTGTCCATGGGCTGCAGTCGGCACAGGCACATGGGGTGGATGCCAGGAGATAAATAGAACATTCACAAGACAAACTAACCTACTTTACTAGTTGGTTTATCCAGAACCAGCCCTATATAGGAGACTCATGATAAATTTTGTGATACTAAAACTATAAAGAGTAATGAAAGACAGTTACGGAGTATTCTTAATTTTTTAAAATATAAAATTAGCAAGTAAGGACAAACATTATATGGTCTCATTCATTTGGGGAATATAAAAATTAGTGAAAAGGAATAAAGGGAAAGGAGAGAAAATGAGTGAAAATATCAGTGAGGGTGACAAAACATGAGAGACACCTAACTCTGGGAAATGAACAAGGGGTAGTGGGAGGGGAAGTGTGTGGGGGGTTGGGGTGACTGGGTGATGGGCGCTGAGGGGGGCACTTGGCGGGATGAGCACTGGGTGTTGGTAAATTGAACTGCAATAAAACAAAATAAAATTTAAAAAAAGAGAAAGTATAAGGAAGAAACTAACAATCACATACGTTAGCACTGTTGAGAATGAACCATTTTGAAACATTTGCTTCCATGGGCTAATACTAGAATGTTTCCTAATGGGATAGGAATGAAAAAAGAAAATAACAACAATAAATACTCCCCAAATTTTCTACCTTTGATAGATATGTATAATTTTACCTATTTATCTTATTAAAATCCTCCAATATATATATACACATATATATATACATACATATGTATATAAGTGTGCAAAAAATGTATCTTGAAGAGTGAAACCTGTTTTTCGGGGGGGATAAGTAGTAAAGTGGCTTTTACTTTTTGTTCTGTATTGATATAAAGTTTATCAAAGAGAGATTGTGAATATTCATAAATAATTAAAAAATGCTTATACTACTACTACAATCTAGGATTTTTAATATTTTAAAATTCATTTTATTTTATTTTAAAGATATTCTTTCTTTATTCATGCGAGACACAGAGACATAGATAGGCAGAGGGAGAAGCAGACTCCCTGCTCAATCTGAGGACCCTGGGATCACAGTCTGAGCCAAAGGCAGAAGCTCAACCACTGAGCCACCCAGCTGCCCTAGTATTTTATTTTATTTATTATTATTATTATTATTTTTAATAATAAGTTTTTTTTATTGGTGTTCAATTTGCCAACATACAGAATAACACCCAGTGCTCATCCCGTCAAGTGCCCCCCTCAGTGCCTGTCACCCATTCACCCCCACCCCCCTCCCTCCTCCCCTTCTACCACCCCTAGTTTGTTTCCCAGAGTTAGGAGTCCTTATGTTCTGTCTTCCTTTCTGATATTTCCTACCCATTTCTTCTCCCTTCCCTTCTATTCCCTTTCACTATTATTTATATTCCCCAAATGAATGAGAACATATAATGTTTGTCCTTCTCCGATTGACTTATTTCACTCAGCATAATACCCTCCAGTTCCATCCACGTTGAAGCAAATGGTGGGTATTTGTCATTTCCAATGGCTGAGTAATAAAAATTTAAACTTGATCCTGGGACTCCAGGGTCATGCCCTGAGCTGAAGGCAGATGATCAACCACTGAGCCACCCAGGCATCCCTTAATTACAGTTGTTTTTAATTTTTTTTTTAATTTACTTATTCATGAGAGACACAGAGAGAGAGGCAGAGACACAGTCAGAGGGAGAAGCAGGCTCCATGCAGGGAGCCTGATGTGGGACTCAATCCCGGATCTCCAGGATCACACCCTAGGCTGAAGGCAGGCGCTAAACCACTGAGCCACCTGGGCTACCCCTTAGTTACAGTTCTTAAGAGAAAGTCTATCCCTTCCTGTTATCCCAAGGGATTCTCAGTAGATGCTTAACACGGAAAAGAATAGTTATTAGTCTGGGTACTTAATGTATACGCTTATCTAATACAGCCTGGCTTTATAAATATGAAGAATTTTTTTTTGAAAATTAAAAATAACATGGAACTGATAAATTTATGTTTTTTCCATGAGTCTTATGACAATATTAAGCTGAGCTGCTTGAGAATTTGTTTCTCAAACAAGAGGTAATTTGCTTTCATTAATTTGTGGATAGTAAATATGGAACTTGATAATAGGTCCATAAGCCTGAAGAATTCAGCCATATAAAACAGTTGAGTGGTTGAGATTATTGGATTTGAAGTCCAACTGCTTAGTTAACAAAAAAATCAGTTTTTTAAGTAACTAGCTAAATGATTTCAGACAAGTTAGTTAACCACTGACCTTTGGTTTTAGCTATTATTATTGAAGTCTTACTATGATCAGGCTTTGTGTTAAATGCCTTATTTCTATTGATCATATAGTGTAAAGATGAGGAAAGTGAGGCACATGGAAGTTACATAGCTTGCCTAAAGTCTTGGGACAGAACTGGATTTTAAAATGAAGCAATCAGGGGCGCCTGGGTGGCCCAGTCAGTTAAGCATCTGCCTTCATCTTGTGTCATGATCTCAGGGTCTTGGGATCCAGCCCCACATTGGATTCCCTGCTTCTCCCTCCACCCCTCCCCACCGTTGGTGTTCTTTCTCTCTCAAATAAATAAATAAATAAAATCTTAAAAAAAATAAAACAAGCCACATAACCACTGTTGTCTTCTGCTGCTGTCATTGGAATTCAAGTAACAAAGACAGGTTGATGATGAAGTATAACAAAGATTAGAGGGCTTAGTAAAATCAAATCAAATCGCCTCTCAAGCTTCATGTTAGTTTGGGCTCCAGTTTCTTTTTCCCCCCAATCAAAATCTCTAGCCACACTGTTAGTTGGTAACATAATTAACAGATTTGAATTCTGTCCTTTTTAAAAAACCATGAAATTCTTAATAAAGAAAATGGAGGGGGCAAAAGGCAGAAAGAGGGAATTTTATATTGGATAATTTATAAACTAGACAGGCATCCTTGAATAATGAATGATGGCTGAGCATCTTTTGAAGAAGTCAGATGATGAAAAAACATGAAGAACTCAGATGAGTGAATATGTCTAAATTTATGTATTCTTAGGATAAACCCTTCTATTTTTGACATTTAAATATATTAAGCTCACAGGTGTCTTGGGCTATCATCTAAATGCAGTAGCAAATTAAATTGTGATCATGGACTACTGTTTGCATAGAAGTTTTTATTGGGTGCTTTCTGAGTTTCATTATGGAGGAAATTATTTCTTACAGTAAAAAGTCAAAATACAAATATAAGGATCAAAATAAAATGTTGGGTTGATCATGGCTGTTTTGAGAAGGAATGATGCCCAACTTCTTCCTTTATGCCATTTAAGCTGGATTCCTTATTTTAAACATTGATTTTTGTTTTAGGTTGAACAAATCCTGGCAGAATTTAAAGTCAGAGCTTTGGAATGTCACCCTGACAAGCATCCTGAAAACTCCAAAGCTGGTAAATATTTAATAATATCTGTTTTCCACGAAAATGAATAGCATCTAGAACCAAAAGCTACTGAATAGTAACTTAATTTCCTTTTGTATGTTATGCTCAAACTTATTCTTTCATTCAGTACCAAAGAATGTTTTTGCACTATTGGGTGGCAGGAGGGGAGGGACCTTATAGGGTCTTTTCTCCAATAGCATTTAGGATCTATTTTTCTTTTGCCCTAACGTGCTACTTCCTGGTTTAAAATTTATCCATTTTATGCTTTAATTCACCAGCTCTTGATGTTAACATATCTTAAGTATGTTTGTAACCAAGGGATTGTCTTAATGAGAACTTTGTTGTATTTTCTTCATTCTTGGGGAACTGAATATGTCTATATGTAACCTGAAAACATATTCATACTTTTGTTTTTTTCTTTATCATAATTTAAGTTCCATTATCATAAATTTTGACATCAAAGGTTTGCCTGGGTTGCTCAGTTGGTTAAGCAGCTGCCTTCCACTCAGGTCATGATCCTAGGGTCCTGAGATTGAGCCCCCTGCTAAGCAGGGAGCCTATTTCTCCCTCTCCCCCCTGCTCATGCTCTCTCTCTTTCTCTCTCTCTCTCTCTCTCTCTCTCTCGCTATCTATCTTTCTCTGTCAACTAAATAAATACAATCTTTAAAAAAAACATGAATTTTGACATAAAGGCTTTTGTGTATCTTGGCTTGAATTAATATGAATCAGCCTGTCTCCCTCCTGCTCCTCTTCTATTTCTCTCTTTCCTTTTAGAGCCAAACTTCCTGAAAAAAGTTCACTGTTGATATCTCTATTTTCCTTTACCAATTTTCAATTTATCCCAGTCTGACTTCCTCCTCACCTTTCTTGGAAGTGGCTCTAATAGTCACTGAGGACTTCCTGGCTGCCAAATCCAACAGTTACTTTTTAGTTTTTATCTTCCCTGTGTTTGCATCAGAAATTGGCACTGTTGATCATGCCTCTTTGAATCACCCTTTTCTCTTAGATACCAACATACATGCTCATACTTTCCCTCCAAACTCTAGGGCTGTTCTTTGTTGTGACTCCTTCTCAATTCTGCCCTGCTTCCCTCCTAAACTCTCTTGGACTTACTCCCCACTTTCTCTCTGGAGTCTTGTCCAAATCAGTGGATCTTTGTTAATGGCTCCCAAATCTGTCCTTAACTTGGTTCTCTTTTTTTATATATAAATATTTTATTTATTTATTCATAGAGATGCAGAGAAAGAGAGAGAGAGAGAGAGGCAGAGAGAGAGAAGCAGGCTCCATGCAGAGAGCCCGACGTGGGACTCGATCCAGGGTCTCCAGGATCACGCCCTGGGCTGCAGGCAGCGCTAAACCGCTGCGCCACCGGGGCTGCCCCTTAACTTGGTTCTCATTCCTATCTTCAGATTCTAGTTTTGACTGCTTCTTAGACATCTCCATTTGGAGATGTTCCAAAGTCGCCCTGTCAGAAATTGAACTCATTGTTTTCCTCTCACTCTAAAATCTTGCTTATTTTTCTGTTTCCCCATCTTTTTTTTATTTATTATTTATTTTTTATTATTTTTATTTTTTTCCCTGTTTCCCCATCTTAATAAATGGCACCAGCATCCATTCAGTTGTTCAAGCAGAAACCTATCTCCTTTCTCTCCCCTATGTCTACATCCGGTCAATTACCAAATCCTGGTGATTTTCCTTCCACATTTCTCTCCTGGAGTTCCTCTTCCCTCCATCTTCACAGTCCCAAGAGTAGTGAGTTTATCATTTCATGCCTGGATCTCTACATTACTCCTCTAATAGCTTCACACTACAGGTAGTGGATTTCTTTTTAATCATGGAAAAAATGAAATATTTAATAGGTACAAAAAGGCATAAGAATACTACAGCAAATGCCCATATATGTACACCTAGCTTAAAACTTTACTCATGCAGGGGCACCTGGGTGGCTCAGTTGGTTAAGCCTCTGACTCTTGGTTTTGGCTCAGATTGGGGGGGGGGGATTGAGCCTCACATTGGGCTCTGTGCTGAGCATGGAACTTGCTTAGGATTCTCTCTCTCCTTCTCCCTCTGCCCCTCTCCACTTGCACATGCATGCTGTCTGTCTCTCTAAACAAACAAACAAACAAACACACACAAACAAGAAGTTTATGAATGCAGTTAAAGTCTTTTGTGTATTTCTACCCTGATTTTATCCTCAGGGTGGGTAATACTATCTTAAATTAGATGATTGTATTTACTATGTGTGCATATTATAGGTTTGTGTGTTGTATGTATATGTATATGACTTTTCTATAAGGAAAATATGATTAAGACCCGTCTTTTTTTTTTTAAGATTTTATTTATTTATGCATGAGAGACATAGAGAGAGAGGCAGAGACACAGGCAGAGGGAGAAGCAGGCTCCATGCAGGGAGCCCGACATGGGACTTGATCCTGGGTCTCCAGGATTCCACCCTGGGCCGAAGGTGGTGCTAAACCACTGAGCGACCAGGGCTGCCCTGATTAAGACCTGGCTTAATCCACATTGCACAAATGATAAGATCCAAACTCCTCTTCACTAGAAAAGTCATCTGTAGCATTAAAGCTCTTTATTAATTTTCTCTGGAAATCATTTATCCCTTTGATTTGTATAACCAGGTCATTTTCTAATATATGGAGTCATTTTTTGTTAGACTTAACTATTACTTTTGCTCATTTGATTTTTACCCTTTTTATTAAGGCATAGTTTGCTTAAGGCAATGTGAACAGACCGTAAATATAAACTTGAAAAAAAAATATAAACTTGATACATTTTTGTCTATACATTTTAACCACTGCTCAGAGGAATATGTGGAATGTTTCCGGCACCCCAGAGGTCCCTTTTCACATCCTCTTCAAAGTCAGCATCCTTTCTATTTTTGGATCTCTATTATCATTGATTAGTTTTGTGTGGCTTTGACTTTCACACAAATGGAATACAGTATATACTCCTTTGGGTGTGACTTCTTTTGGTTTACATTATGTCTGTGATATTTGCCCATTTTGTACATGTAGTAATAGTTCCTTCTTTGTCATCGCTGGGCCTATAGATACAAGCCCCTTCATGTGCTTTCTACCTCTCCCCATCTCTCCATTTCCACCACTATACCCACAACCCCATGTTTTTGCCACACAGCCTTGGCTCTGTTTTCTACTCTTCAGAACTTTTATTCTTTAGAGACAGAGAGAGAGTGAGCACATCTGTTGAGGGGCTTAGGGGGTGAGGGGAGGGGCAGAAGAAGAGAGAATCTTAAGCAGACTGTACCCCTAGCACAGAGCCTGATGCAGGGCTTGATCCCATGACCCTGGGAGATCAAGACCTGACCCAAAGTCCAGAGATGGACACTTAACCAACTGAGCCACCCAGGTGCCCTGCACTTCAGACCTTTATGCCTGCTGCTTCCTCTGTCTGGCTCCCTCTGAGGCTTGCACACCTCGCTGCTTTGCTTTGATTATTTAGGTTATGCTCCTGTGTCAGGTTGCAGCTTAGCCATCACTTCCTTTGGGAAATCGTGTGGCCCAGCTACCCAGAGCACCCTATATGACAGGCAGCAAACTGTGTATCATGCCATCTCCTTATTGCGTATTTGCTTGTTAGTCATAATGAAAACTCAGTAAGACAGGCTTCCTGCTGTCTTGTTCACAGTAATATGCCCGACACCTCATAGAGCACCTACTACCATGGAGGACACTTACTTTGTGCACATCATTTATTGAATGACTTAATGAATGAGTTCCTGAACATTTATTTAGGAAACATTAATTACATCTTTGAACTAGAGTTACTATTAAGGTAGACATCTTGGAGCACCTGGTGGCTCAGTTGGTTGAGCAGCCAGCTCTTCATTTTGGCTCAGGTCGTGTTCTTGGAGTCCTGGGATTAAGTCTGCATGGGGCTCCGAGCTCAGTGGGGAGTCTGCCTGAGGAATCTCTCTCTCCTTTCTCAGACTCTCCTCCTCCAGCTTGCACTCTTTCCCAGATAAATAAATCTTAAAAAAAAAGATAGATGCCCTAACATAAACGTATAGAAATTTGATAAACACTTAAAAACAACCACTACCCCAGGTTATTCTTTAACTGGATTCTTTTCTAGGAAAAGCATGGCTGTGAGTTGTTTCTCTGTCCTTGGCAAACAATTTCTATTTGGGATACACAATGAATGACTGGGCAATCATTGCCATTTCTGGTTGCCATAGTGATGGGAGTTTTCATGTATGGGCTACCTCATGGTTCTTGTTCAGAGAAACACTGAACTGTAAATATTGTTTAAAATGATAGGTACACAGACATCAATATCCTCCCCTGTCAGGCTTGCAGTTGATAGAGGATTCAACCTGTGGGTAGAAATTATTTTCAAATCTGTTTAAGCACCCATTTACTCAATTTGAATTAATATGACTTTCTGAAATTTAAGTGGTTTTTTATAACACTTGAAGAAGGATTAAGGGTACTGATAACAATATTTTAAAATATTAAATGGGGTACCTGGGTGGCTTAGTTGGTTAAATGTCTGACTTTGGTTTCAGCTCAGGTTATGATCTCAAGGTTGTGAGATCAAGCCCTGCCTCGAGCTCTGTGCTCAGCAGGGAGTCTTCTTGAGATTGTCTGCCTCTCCCTCTCCCTCTGTCCCAATCCTGCTCCTGTGTGTGTGTTCTCTCTCCTTAGATAAAATATATACATCTTTTTTTTAAAAGATTTTATTTATTTATTCATGAGAGAGAGAGAGAGAGAGAGGCAGAGACATGGACAGAGGGAGAAGCAGGTTCCATGCAGGAAGCCCGATGTGGGACTCAATCCTGGGACCCCAGGATCATGACCTGAGCTGAAGGCAGACCATCAACTGCTGAGCCACTCAGCCATCTCAAACATATACATCTTTTGAAAAATAAATAAAATATTAAAAATTCACCCAGATGCTGAATTTTATTTTTTATTATTTTATTTCATTTTTTAAAAAGATTTATTTATTTATGAGAGAGAGAGAAAGAGAGA